GTTGACCCTGCATAAGCAGAGATTCATCTCCAATGTGACTGTGGTAACAGTTGCCAACACTAGCTCACAGGCTAAGTCTAACAACGCAAGGAATATTAGTAGCTGTGAAAACTAAATGCTGATTAGGTGTGTGTTTAGTACACCTTGCTGTTATCACTTGAACAAGAGTTTTGCACTCTCCTTCACATTGGTCGTGGTTTGAGCACGAGAGTTGAGAAAATGCACTCCTCATGCACATATTGCACTCCTCCTATCAATACCAAGATCCAAGGGCAGGCTAAAAGTTACCCCTTAACCTACTGATCTTGGAACGCTGTAAAGCATTCTTAGCACTGAATAGAAAAAGGCAACAATACACAAGAGGAGCTGAGTTCTCCTCTCAGCTACACTTCGTGGTTCTATCCGTTTCTCTACAAGCGGTTTCACGTCCTTTTGAACTCTCTCTTCAAAGTACTTTGCAACTTTCCCTCACGGTACTTGTTTGCTATCGATATTACCATCGTATTTAGTCTTAGGAGGAGTTTACCTCCTAATTTGGATTGCACTCTCAAGCAATCTGACTCTATCCGCGACTAAAGCCAGTAATCGATATTCCATTAACCAAGATCTGCCACCGGCCTAGAACCGTCTCTGGGAAGAGGGCCCTTGTCAGAGGGACTTGCAGATTTAGTTGAAATAATCGTGACTCTAGCCATTACGCAGCACCGCTTTCCACCTTTCAATGGAAAACCTTTGCGCCGGACTCATCCCTTTTCACTCGCCGTTACTCAGGGAATCTCATTTGATTTCTTTTCCTCCGCTGAATTATATGCTTAAATTCGGCGGGTAACCTCACCTAATCTGAGATCAAAAATATTGATTAAGTTGATTAATGTTTATTTGTGTTGTTTGCAAGCAAGCAACGTAAATCTACTTTAATGTTTGCACAAATTTTGCCTTTGCATTACTTCTTAGGTCTGCTTTAACAGAATGAAATAGATACTATTTGTACGATTTATACAAGTGCAAGAAGATTCATCAGTTAACAGGTTAGTTGATCACCATAGTTATCTGCAATACGACTTTAGCGTCGTCAGATAGGCGACTAACCTTAGAATCTCATGCTAGTATCTATTCATATATACTGCTTGCAGAGATGAAATATGCATTGTACACAAAATTTATCATGTGAAACAAGTAGATTTGAGATTCTCCTTACTAAATTGCAACGAATTGCAATTAAGAAAAGGAATAAAACATCAAGATTCATGCATATAAATATACAATCCTCTCAAAACAATGCATATATGGTAGTATGCAAGTGTTTTGTTGATTATTTTACATCTCAACTCTCAGACAGATGTGACCTCGGAAAAGACCCGAAAGCCGCAATGTGCGTTGGAAGCTCAAGTGCTCGGCGTGTCCTGCAATTCGCACCGATATCGTAGCTAGCTACGTTCTTCATCGATTGGTAATTCGAGTGATCCACCGCTTGAAGATGTATCTTTGCCACCGTGGGACTTTTAATAAGTATCCTAAATCTGCATTGAGAGGGTTTGAAAACAATTGTATGCAGTTTATAAAAACCATAGTTGTCTTTACTTAGTTAGGCGAAGAAGTGTAAAACTTCCTTCTTTAAACCTTGCCGTCAGCATAAGCTGAAGACTTGATCAGGTACCAAGTATGTAGCAAGACAGGCTTTTCATTATAAACTACAATTGTTTTGCAAAAGAAATTATGGCTATCGTTAGATAACCCTCACTCTTTGTTGCATTGGATAATGAAAGATGGATGTATGAATGAACGAATGTAATGCAAATTAGAATCATGTTGCAATGGCTAAATGTTTGCAATAAACATTCACAATTGCGACTCTAATGCAAATACAATTCAATTGCATTCACCATATTAGCATCTACAATATCACTATGCAGAGTGTTTGATTGTTTGAAGGTTGTATTTCTCTTATAATAAGAGGGTAATACGTTAATGATCCTTCCGCAGGTTCACCTACGGAAACCTTGTTACGACTTTTACTTCCTCTAAATGATCAAGTTTGAACATCTTTCCAGCACAATCCGACCACTAGTTTCCCAATGGTCTGGATTGACCAGTCCGAAGTCCTCACTAAATCATTCAATCGGTAGTAGCGACGGGCGGTGTGTACAAAGGGCAGGGACGTAATCAACGCAAGCTAATGACTCACGCTTACTGGGAATTCCTCGTTCATGGGCAATAATTACAATGCCCAATCCCCATCACGAAATGGGTTCAAGCGGTTACCCACTCCTTTCGGAGCAGGAAACAGTATGCACGATGACCACTTCAGTGTAGCACGCGTGCGGCCCCGGACATCTAAGGGCATCACAGACCTGTTATTGCTCTGTTTCGTGCGGCTGCGAGCGCCGCTTGTCCCTCTAAGAAGTCCTTACAGTGCTACAGCATCCTTACCCTAGCCAATTCTGTAGGCTAATAGCAGCAGAGCCCTCAACAGCCGAAACCATCAAGAGATACTACCACCCACAGGTTGACTAAGGGGGAGTACTGCAGTGTAAACTGCAAGTCTATTTAGTAGGCTAGAGTCTCGTTCGTTATCGGAATTAACCAGACAAATCACTCCACCAACTAAGAACGGCCATGCACCACCACCCACTGAATCAAGAAAGAGCTCTCAATCTGTCAATCCTCTCAGTGTCCGGGCCGGGTGAGTTTTCCCGTGTTGAGTCAAATTAAGCCGCAAGCTCCACTCCTGGTGGTGCCCTTCCGTCAATTCCTTTAAGTTTCAGCTTTGCAACCATACTTCCCCCGGAACCCAAAAACTTTGGTTTCCCGGAAGCTTCCATTCGAGTCATGAAATTAGTTACTCAGAATGATCGCTGGTTGGCATCGTTTATGGTTAGAACTAGGGCGGTATCTGATCGCCTTCGAACCTCTAACTTTCGTTCTTGATTAATGAAAACATTCTTGGCAAATGCTTTCGCTGTAGTTTGTCTTGCGACGGTCCAAGAATTTCACCTCTAGCGCCGCAATACAAATGCCCCCGTCTGTCCCTCTTAATCATTACCTTGGATTCTTAAGACCAACAAAATAGAACCAAGGTCCTATTCCATTATTCCATGCAAGATCATTCAAGTTAAGGTAGTGGTACGCATCATATAGATGGTTGACCATACCGTTTTTAGGCACCTCTTTCGAGGTTTTGGACGCCTGCTTTGAGCACTCTGATTTTTTCAAGGTAAAAGTCTCGATCGCTTGAATCAACACTCGGTAAAGAGCATTGATAGCAAATATCGAGCAATTTTCTGTCTAAACACTATGAATGTAACCACCAGGAAAGAGGAATGAAGGTTCAAGCAAGCATCCGTAGACACAAGCAAGAAACCTAACATCACCATCTAACCCTTTAATCAGTGGACCCCATAGGTTCGACTGAAATCCAACTACGAGCTTTTTAACCGCAGCAACTTTAATATACGCTATTGGAGCTGGAATTACCGCGGCTGCTGGCACCAGACTTGCCCTCCAATAGATCCTCGTTAAAGGATTTAAATTGTACTCATTCCAATTACGGGGCCTCAATAGAGTCCCGTATTGTTTTTTTCGTCACTACATCCCCGTACTGGGATTGTGTAATTTGCGCGCCTGCTGCCTTCCTTAGATGTGGTAGCCGTTTCTCAGGCTCCCTCTCCGGAATCGAACCCTAATTCCCCGTTACCCGTTACAACCATGGTAGGCGCATAACCTACCATCGACAGTTGATAAGGCAGTTGCTTGAGGGATACATCGTCGGCTCAGAGGCCATACGATTTGCTCAGTTATTCAGAGTCATCACAAGAAATGCAACCGAAGTTGCTAAGATCCCCACTGCTAGTCCTTAGACAGCGACCGAAATCACTGAACAGGGTTCTAGGTGAATAAGAATCATTGGTCTTGTACTAATAAATGCGATCCTTCCGTCAGCAAGCTGAGGTTGGAACACTTGTTCATGTATTAGCTCTAGAATTACCACAGTTATCCATGTAAAAAAGAATATCCGAGGAACCGTAACTGATTTAATGAGCCATTCGCGGTTTCACTTTATAAACAGTATGTACTTAGACATGCATGGCTTAATCTTTGAGACAGCATATGACTACTGGCAGGATCAACCAGGTAACTTGATGTTTTAGCAAAGTAAAATGCTAAACAAGTTGTTTTGCAGCTATAAATACGATATCCTCAGCTAACAACCAGCAAGTGGATGCTAACTTTAACGAGGTATCGAGATTTATGTCGTGCATTAAGATAATTCTGCAGAAAGCTCTTTAGAATCCATCTTCTTCCACTAAAATGTGCAAGCACATCTAGCAGGAGTAACCATTGCTGGGTACGTTTGCAAGTCAACTAAACAGCATAGTATTATAACCGCTTGATACCAATTTCTTGGATCAATCTGCGGTCTGCTTTGTACAAGCAGAGCTCAATACTAATACTGCTCACTCTGTTGAGTGACTAGTTTGAACATATATGCAAGATATGAAGTCTGATAGCATTAAAGCCCAACTCTCATAGATATTGTCAGTCGTACCAAGGAAGACCTTAGGTCTTGCAGGTACTCTACCTTTGTATAATAGTGTGTGGTGATAAGATGATTGACGATCCAAACCCATTCAGGCCCGTCTCTTCAACCACCAAACATCAACAGAATAACAGGAATAGATGCGTGAACAGCTACAGTCTGGACCATACCACTGCTTGATGCATTGACTTATCCATAACCGTAGACAATCACTTACCTCCCCATCAACTACTGATGGTTGCTTCTCTCAATTCAGCAACTACACTCACCACATATAACACAATAAATCTGGTTGTGATCTAAAACCTCTTTTTCTGAAAATTAGACTAAGTCCGTGTCTATTTTTGACACCCAATAACTTTTGAACCATAAGGTCAATCGCGATCATGTTTTTCGGGGTAATATCCCAGTAGTGCCGACTATCGCATGCGCTTATTAATGACCTAAATTACTAAACGCAAGT